GTGCTCAATGTAAATTTACAGAGCATTAATATTATAAATTAACTGATTTAAAATATGTTTTTTTTCGCTACACAGTTCTAACCATGTTTCAAAAATGGAAGTTAAAAGCTTTGAATTTAATTTTGTAATTAAATTAAAGACATTAGTTCCATTTCATGCTCAAGCGAATTTTGGAGTAACTTATTTTTAAAAATTACTGGGTTTTAAAGGCACTGCAAAAATTCATAATTCACGTTTCCAAGGATACAGAGAAATCCATTCATCCAGACAAGAGGTGGTTGCGTGTTCATTATCACTGTATTTTGATGTATCAGTTATTAGTTACGTTTGAAGAAGGGTTTTCATTTAGGTAGGAGTAGGGATGTATTTTTCAACGAATTCTGACATCCGTTAAATGCATGTCGTCTGGATTTTTTTTTTTTTCTAAAATTTTATTGTTAGTGGCAAAAATTCTTACAGCATTTTCTATTTGTATACTTAAAGATTTTTTGGGGTGTTTAGGTTAGAATACGTTTTATTTTACGATTTTAAAAAATATTTTCACTTTTAATTTTTAATATACTATATTTCTTTTTTAAAACAACTAAATGTATTAGTTACAGTATGTAAAATTATTTTTTTATTTAGGTCAAAATTTAAAAAAATTTATATTTAAATATTATTTAAGTAAAATTTTTGACGGCAAAAATAGCTAACCTGATTTAGTAAATTTTTATTTTTATAAACTTAGTAATATAAGTTTTCATGTATGTACAAAGGACACTATATTTCTTTTTTTAATTTCATTTTACTGTAATTGGATCCTTTGAAAGTACTTTGAGAAGGTGTTTAGGTTAGAATACGTTTTATTTTACAATTTTAAAAGATGTTTAGGTTAGTTTTAAAATTTTAAATTTTAAAATATTTTCTGTTAATTTTAATAGACTATATTTTTTTTAAAATAAGTAAAATGTATTAGAATTACTTACAGTAAGTAAAATTATTTTTTCCATATCAAGTATAAGTACGTATATTACCAGGTCACATTTTTAAAATTTTACAATTAAATATTATTTAAGTAAAATTTATGACAATGACGGTAAAAAATAGCTAATTCATTTCTCTGATTTAGTAAACTTTTATTTTTCATAAACTTAGTAATATATAGTTTCTCATGTATGTACAAAGGACATGGGTCATTTAATGGCCCACATATTCAAGCTTTTCATATTAATTTAATTTTACTGTAGGTGTTTTATTGGATCCTTTTAAGTGCTTGTAGTACTTTGAGAGAGGTGTTTAGGTTAGAATACGTTTTATTTAACTACAATTTTAAAAGATGTTTAGGTTAGAATTCATTTTAAGTACAATTTTAAATACAACTTTAAAATATTTTCACTGTTAATTTTAATAGACTATATTTTTTTATTTATTTAATTTTTCATTAACCAGTCTATTAAATCTACATATATGTGTGTGTGTGTATATATATATATATATACACACACACATATGTAGATTTAATAGACTGGTTAATGAAATTCAAGTAATAAAAAGTTAAAATAATAAAAATATTGTCAATAAGACTGATGATATTTATTTTATAATAGTATATATAAATATATTAAGTTATATACTAAATTATACTAGTATTTATAAAGGACAAAAATATGTCTGAAAATTCCAACTTTAAAATCTTTTTCTTTGTGTTTCAGTTTAGTCAAAAGGCCTACTAATATAAAATAAATATCATCAGTCTTATTGACAATATTTCTATCATTTTGTTGTCTTTTTATTCCTCAAATTTCATTAACTGGCGTTTTAAATCTACATATTATACGAAGCATACAGGAACCATCTTTTGTTATTATCATATACATACACACATATATATATATATATATATATATATATATATAGTTAGGATGGAGTTTCTAGTCTTGAATGCCAGCCTTCCTAGAAATGGTGTCTTGATAAAAACACTTGGTGTACTTTGTCTACTGTAAGTTGAGTGACAGGAAGTGCATCCGGCCTTGTAAAACTTTGCTTGAAATCATTATGACAAAAAGTTCTCTGTCAGGTAGAACCCACCTCACTTTGTTGTAAAATTAATCCTGATCTTGCCTCAATAAAAAAACATGACTATATATATGTATGTATGTGCAGCTTAAAGATAATTTTTTCTTATGTACAAATACAAATCAAAGTGTTCCTGTCATCATCATAAAAGATCATGCAAGAAATTTTAAACTTGTAAAATCAGCTATTAGAATTCCAGAGCTGTCTATCAAGTTGTTTTTTTCCCAATTCTTATGTAAATACTATGGAAAATACTTCAAATTTATCTGAGAAAATTTTGGAAAGAGTTTCGATGGGTAATGATTAACTTACCTGCCCACATTTACAGTACCTGTGCTGTAGTTTTGAATAGTTCCTGGGACCCCTCAAAAAGTAAAAATAAACTTTGAGATCTTAACAAATAGATCAAAAGAAAATATTTGCTTTATACATGCAAAAATGAGTTGCTCTTATTTATTTGTTGGTAGCCATTTGTTTTAATTTAATCCAGATTCACATGAGTCAATTTTTTTTCTATTTTTATTAAGTTCTTGTACTGTCTGGGTATCTGGAATCTTAATTATCTGATCGACAGAATAAATTATCATTAAAACTTCTGGAAGAATTTTCATAAAGGGGAAATAGGTCAGCCCATTGGCAAGGCTCAAATTTCCATTTTTTATTTGATAGAGATTACATCTGACAGAATTCAAATTAAAGAAAACAAAACACTTGGCAATTGTTATCAATAAATAATAAGAGAGCTATTTGATTGTTTTACAACATGATATAATCTTATGGTAGTTTTGAGAGTATTGAAAAATGATCTTTCTCTGTGAAATTCATTAAGGTAGAAAATATGCTTCAGATTGATTCAGCTTATCCAACCTTAAAATCTCTTCTTATAGATTGGTTGTGCTAGAAAAACAAATGTTAAAGTTATGTAAGTCTGTGTCTCTATATGGAACCAATCAGATCATGAATACAATTTATTTATCTGTAATATTTATGTGTACCATACTATCAAAAAATAAAATACTTTATTGTGTTGTAAAAAAAATATTAATTATAGTGTCAAAAATAATTATAGTAATTATAATTTCCATTAATTCACTCATTCTAATCCAATGCGAAATGACCTCACTTTTCTCCTCTATATACGAATATGTGACATTCTCACTATCGGACAAGCAGTTCACACTCATTTTTTAGAGTATTTTTTTGTATATATAAATGTTAAGGGGTTTATAATTACTTACTCAGAGTTATAACTCCCCTACAAGTTTTGCAATTGTGTTGTAATTATATAATATGAAAAGTGTCATGTGGCTTTGCATTTTCTTGTTTATATTCAATATTTCATGAATATTGAACCAAACTAAAAGTACAAAAAAAGGAGGCACGATGGAGTAATGGATAGCAGCTCAAATTGAGAAATTGGAGAGCTGAGTTCAAATTCCGCTCGAATCCATTACATCCACTTATGTGCTAATACCTTTGGGAAAGGTATAAATTTGCCTTGTTAGTTATATATTGAAAGATACATGATCGCCTAAGCATGTATCACACATGGCACATAACTGACTGAGTGAAACAATTGCTCATTGTCATGTGATAGGTAAAAATGATTATAATGAATGAAATCTATTTTTAATATAGACTTCTTTTTTTTTTTCTTTTCTTTTTTTTTAAGTCATTTTAATACAAGCAAATCAATAAAGCCACTAAGATGCAAGAGATTACTGAGTGTGGGAGAATATGAGAAAAACAAAAACATTAAGAAAAATTAAAGAACAAGAATTAAGAAGACAGGAGATAATGATTGATATTACATTTAAATTGTTGAAGATAAAATTTAACTGGAAAGCAAGAAGCAGGAAAAGAGTTCCACAAGTGAGAAGTGTGAGAGAAGAAACTGTTAGCATAGAACTTAAAATTATATCTAGCCATTTCAACTGTAAAAGGATGAAACTTTGCTGCCAATCTAGCACTGCACTTAAATTCATAAAGTCTATGTAGCAAAGAGGAAAGCTCATCAGAAAAATTACCATGAAAATATTTATAGAAAAGGCACAAAGGGAGCTATGTTATGACAGTGGGAAAGCAACTGAAGCTGAGAAGCCAGGTCAAGACCATTAACACTGCAGATTCTTCTTTGTATTTTATCTGGAATCTCTAAAGCACCAGGTCATATGTGGCAGCAATATTCAATGCATGGATGAATGGTAGACTTATAAATATGTAAGATACATTCTGGAAAAAAAATTGTCTAGAACATATATTCAAACATATCTTACTTTAAAAATTAATTTATCTACAGAACCAATCATAATTTAAGAGTTCTTACGACAATATTTCTAGTTTAAAGTGCTGTATTATTTTTGCTTCATCAAAAGAACAGTCTACAACATAGTTATAGGTGAATACACATTGCATTTTATATATGTGAATTCTTTTCTGTTCTATATTTAACAATACAGTATTATATCATTATTTATGTAACTGGTGATATCATTGGGCTGCAGTTGTTAAATACAGAAAAAAAAATAAACAATAATAAAATAATTTAATAATCAGTATGTGTGTCTTTCTCTCTCTCTCTCTCTCTATATATATATATATATATATATATATATATAAATATATATATATACACATATATATATATATATATAATATATATATATATAAAAAGATTGAAAGTACTTGAGAAATGAAAATAAAAGAAATTTCTCTACATCCATTTCTCTCATCCTTTAACATCAATACATGGAAGGTTATTCATGAGTATAAACAGATTTTGTTAAAAATTAGCAGACATAATGTCTGTAATTTATTCAATCAGGCATGCCTAAAAGAGAATTTGCTGCTTAAATACACAAATATATAAAGTTATTGGATTTTCTTGTTATTGCCCACTAACATTACTAAAGTCATTATTTAGTCATCTGTAATAACCATGCTTACAGCCATATCACATTGAAACACCAGTTCTCATAAGATCACTAAAGTTAAGCAATGTCAAGTCTGGCTAGTACCTAAATGGGTGACGGCTTGGGAATACTAGGTGCTGTAAGCTTGAATATGCAGGTGGTATAATGGATAATGACTTTGAATTGGAAATCAGAGAGCTTAGTTCTAATTCCAGTCATGTTCATTATATTCACTTATGTGCAAATACTCTTGGGAAACATAAATTCCCCACCACCCCAGCTTTAGGTTTCATTAGTAGGAATTGTATTCTTAAATCATTATTATCTCAAAAAAAAAAAATTCTTACAATCTAAAAATATTTTCTAGCTTTAAATCACCTATGAAAGGTTGATAATCTGTAAAAAAACAAATCATTCTATCAGTGCAATATTTCTGGTGGTGGTCAGGAATAGAATCTAATTAAGCAGTGAGTTTTTCATTTTTTTTTTTTTTTTACCTATAACTTGTTTCAGAAAGTTTTGATATGTAATTTATAGGTTCTGCATCAAAAATACAGGAAGAAAAGAACTGTAAGTGGTCGGGAATTTGGACAAGCATTACTGACAGAATAGTGCTATTATATGTAAATAAATTAGTAATAATTTTATTAGAGATATACTTAAAATTGAAAAGGAAAAAAACTTACTCAATTACTAACTGCTAGGTTAGTAATTGAGGCATATGTTATGGATAGGATAACATTATCAAATTCCTGATTCTACAAAAAACAGCAAATACAGAAATTATATAAAAAGCAGTTTTCTAAGTTTGCTTAATGTGGGTCTATATTTGTAAATCTGGATATATTTTTTTAAAAAGACTTCTGGGGAAAGATAGTGAGGGATTTCTAGTTGATTTCTCTGTGGTTTTGAATTCAGAATAATTCTTCTCTTAGACTGGTTCCCATCAAGGGCTCAGTTTACCTTAGAATGGGGGATAGGGAAAAGATGGATTCATGCCTTTTCCTAAAAGTATCAGACCAGGCTGGAACCAACTTTACTTCCATAGCAATAACTGTTAACCTATGAGCACATCCACCTTGAAAGAGATTAAAATTACTTATAAAAAAATAAGGCAAAAGATTGACTTTATTTAATTGCTATTGATTTTCAATATTGTTGAAAATGCCTTTCATTCCACCTGAGGTATAAGTCATTAACAAGAGTTCTCCCAACACTCTTGAACTTTTCACACCAACTGGCTCTGGGTGTATCCCAGCATTCTAATATCTGCTTCAATGTCCCAACATTAAATGTTTTCATATATATTTATTTTTTTCGTTTTTTTATCTTGGTCATTCAAGGTTAGGGTTTGTCTTGTAGTCTCTCTTTCATTAGAAATGTCCTATCCAACTCCAGCTTTGATTCATTATCTCATGCTTGGTTGTGAGTTGAATTGTTCATTGTTAAATTTAATTGTTGCTGATGATATCTGAAAAATTCTTCTGAAATAAGAGTTAATGAAGGTTTGACTTTCTTGGTGATGGTCACAACATACAACAGAACTGACTTGATACTGATGCTGAACAACTCAATCTTGGTAAAACTTTGAGGAGAATGCCTATCTGTACACCAGAAAATTATTTTAATTATTTATGAAATTCATAAAATATATAATAACATGTGATGATGGAGTAATCTATGTAAATACTTTATTTCAAACTATTGTTCTTATCTTGATTGTTACAGATATATTTCATCCAAGTACTCTGTGGCCATCTTCATGTGTCTATCGTTTGACTAATTATTATGCTGTTTCATCTTAAGTTGCCAGTTCTTCTTTGTTACTGCTGAACCAGTGTACAATTTGATCCAGAGATAGACAGTGGTGTAATGGATATAGGAGTTGGTTAAAATACGTGCTGCTGTCATCTGGTGGTCATGAGTTCAATCCTTGAAAAGCCATTGTATCCTAGGAAAACTGTCTCTAATGTAAAACACCGGAGTGGAAATCTTATGCTATGGCGGTGCTTTAGTGGAAATTGAATAGACAGTTTGTTTCACCAGAACCATTGGTAGGTGTGTTGGAGGGAATTACTGTGATATTTTAAAGGGAAATCTGAAAGGTACTACCAGGTACCTTTTTGGAAGACAAATGTTTCACTTTCCAACATGATAATAATCCTAAATGCAAAAATGTACTGGTGAAAAATTGACACAGACAAGATAAACATAATTTTTCCTGGACCTACAGTGAATCCAATAAAAAATATATGATGAGAACTTAAAGTTAAAGTCCATTCAAGACAAACTTTAGTAAATTTAGAGAATTTGCTTTAGTAGAATGGAACAAATTGCTGAAAGAAATTTGTAATAGATTATTTACTAATTAGAAAAACTGTTTATTTAAAGTTATTGACTGGAAAAGCTATGCCATTGTTAGCCTAAGAGTAGGTACCTCCAATAATTCGTTGAAAAAAAAAGAGCATAGTATGATGAAAAAGGCCTCAAACTTGATAAAAACAAAGTTTTATCATCAAAATGTTTATGTTATTATTAAGAGGAAAAACCAAAGTATTTTTCAATTATTTTATTAAATTTTTTTAATCCTTTCTAGCATGTTCAAAATTTTGGTTAAAAAATCTTGTTGCAGCAAAGACTAGTATAGGAAATTTTAGCATCTTTTTTGCAATAAAAACACATTGAATTGGAAGTTGTTGCAAAAATCAAATAATTGTTAGATTTTAATGTAACTTTCAGGACTTATTCACAAATGAATTAAATCAATTTAGAATTGTCTTTTTAGAAAATCATGGTAAATATATATATATATATATATATATATATATATATATATATATATATATTTTTTACATCCGTTACCACCCTCCCTACACACACACACACCTAATGAATTTTCAAGAAATTAAATTTTGTCCCTCTTCATATTTATATTAGTCAAAACAGGAGTCCTTGAAAAATGTAAATCACCAATTTTTAATTTTTTTTCAAACAGTAACACATTTACTGAAAATCTGCTCTGAATCATAAAATAAAAAAATGCAATAAAACTAAGACGTTATTTAATTAGAAAAGCTTTTCATTGCTTTTACAAATAAACATATATTAAGACACTATTTTTTTTAGATTTTAATTAAAATAACTTATTGAGTTTTAAATATTTTTAATATTTAAAAATTTTGCATTAATTTAACCTTTTTAAATTATATTATTATTAAGTGAAAACTATTTACTAATCATAAAGTGAAAAGCTTAATACAAGTCTTCAAACACCAATATCTTTAAAAAATTTTTTTTTTATGTCTATAAACATGCCAATTTTCTATATACAGTCAACCATACATGTCATTATCAGAAAATAAGAGCAATAACTATTGTAAATTTACTGCTAAAAATATTTAAAATTCAATAAAGCATTAGTTGACAGAGAATATTTTCTTAAATTTTTAAGAATACTGATTACTTAAAAATTATATATAAAAGGCACTCACGTTAATTCAATTAATTTATTAATGCCTGATCAATCTGTCATGAAGCTGTTAAACCTGAGAATGTCTTAAATAAACAGCTACTGTTGGGTTAAAAAATATATTGATATAGTGATATTTTAAACTTAAAGTAAATAATAGTTGTTTCAAATTAGATTAATTATACTTTAAATCAGTTAATATTCCTCAAAAAAATTTCAGAAATCTATATTTTATTTTTGGAAGATTACATTGTGATGAAAGATGACTAAAAAGGGAGTAATCGGATATTTTAGCAATAAAAACCTCCTTCCAGTCAGTTTAAATTAGTTTTTGAAATACAGCATAGTATCTTGCTTATTGGAAATATTAAATTTAATCTATTAGCTTGATATTAAAACTAAGATAAGCTTTGAGAAAGATTTTTTTATTTTTAAAAATTCATTTTATATCTTAGGTATTGTTGTTTATTTATTTGTTTGTCTTTGGAGGTACCTACCTAAGAGTATGGATAATTTTGTTTTTGTTATGTTCATAACATTACAGTAATGAATAAAAAGTTTCTGAAATAGATTATGTGTATTTATCAGATGCTTAAGATTACGTTCTAACTTTATATATATATATATATATATATATATATAAAAAAATTGAAAACTGAATTCTATTAAGTGAAATAGATTGTACCATATAGATAATCTTGTTCCTCACTGTATATAATAATTTAGAATAGAGTGACCTTAGGATACTAAATATCTAAATTTTAGAGAAGTTCCTTGTGTATTTTATACTCAACTAAAAGCTTCAATCACTGTATTTTCAGCAGTGATATCTGGTAAAAATCACAAACCAGATTGTGGCAAAGGATGACAGTGATTAGCTAGCGAGAATAAAAACAAAGCCAATAAAGAAAAAAACCTACCACTCCACTTATGGCTCCAACAAATGAATGATTATCTTTAAAAGCATTTTAGCTTGGCAACTCCAGCTAAACCTGTTTGGATAAAACCAAACTAGTTTATTTATGCCATCAAAAATTAACGTCATTTTTTTTTTTACTTATTATTGTACTTTGTTCTTTCATGGAATCTGTCTTTTCAGCTCTTGGCTTCATAAATATCTAGAAACAGTCTACCACAAAATCCAAAAGTGGACAAAATCTCAGTTACATAAATAAAGTCTCATATATAAAAAGAAGCAAATTTCACATTGCAAATCAAAGGAACTTTTAATTCAAATTGAGACAATAATATTAATATAAAAATACATATGTATACATAAATAATGAAGCATAAATTTGTGAGCATGAAATAAGTGTATATATTGGATATTATTATTATTGTCTCAATTTGACAATAAAATTTAAATTAAAAGTTCCTTGAATTTTCAATGTTAAATTTTCTTTTTATATATGAGACTTTATTTATGTAACTGAGATTTTGTCCACTTTTGGATTTTGTAGTAGACTATTTCCAGGCTGGGATTTTGACCTGAATTTGTCATAACAAAGGCACTGGCACCTGACATTGACATTGCAAATGAAGTATAGTACAGTCAAAAGTCAGATAGATAGAAATGGGCACTTTGCCCATCTCTATATAGTAGATTTTTCTGGTCACAGAAAAAACATATTGCATATGCTATATATATATATATATATATATATATATATATATA